AAAAAAAAAAAAAAAAAGATAACCCATCTTACAGCCAGCTCAAGTTAAAACAAAACAACTCTCCCGCAATTCCTTTGAAGATAAAGCCTGGAACCCCGGTTTGAGAAACACTCCCTTACTTTGTTCTGTTCCACTTCTCAAATGAATGGGCTTGCTTAGCATCTGGGAAGCCTATGTCCTATGTCCTAAACTCAGATCCCCTTCTGTCCCCTCATCTGATCCATGAAGACCCCAGCTCTGTTCCAGGAAAAAGAATCATCACTCTTTGGTGGCAAGCTACAACTCCTTTAGTCCATGTTTTCAAAGTCAAGGTGCCAGGAGAACCCCATGTAAACCAACTGCTCCCCATGCTTCCCTTTGCATCAGCCCCCTTCCAAAAGTGGCAAAAATTCACACAGGGCCAGCAAAGGCCTCCTGAGTGGTTCCCTAGAGCATCAGCGCAAGAAACCCTGTGAGACAAAGCCGAACGAAACAGAATAGCAAAATGTGAACAAGGAATCTGAGAGTGGAGATAAGAAAGAGTAACAAGAGAAAGAAAAAGGATGAACTACAAAGACTCAGAGGGGGCCTTGGCAAGCACATTTGTGATTTTTTTTCTCTCCATGAAAATGTCAATTTTGAATAGCACCTTTGAAAAATGTAACCAGCTTCTCACATGCCCAAAAAGAAGATTCAGGAGGAGCGTGGCCAGGGAGAGAAGCCTCTTACTTTGGAAACTGGCACCAGAGAAGGGCCCTACCCTTCCATGTTTCCACCGGGAACACTCCCTGTGGCTTACACCATCCCCGAACCGCCCGATTCCCCAGGTCCAGAAGTTTCCCACTCGGGGATCCTGCACACTAAGCCCTGCAGATGGGTGGAATCCTGTCCTCCCGGGAGCTCCAAACTAGGAATCTCTTTCTAAGAGTCCTTAGCCGTCCAGGGGTCCCCAGAGATGGCCACGGGCCGCCCACACCCTCCCTCTTCCCAGCCCAGGAGGCCACACCCGCCCCCAGACTCACACTTCTCCCGCACCCCAGCCCACCTCCCCTCCCACCAGCCCCCCACGCTCGTCTCCCTCCGATTTCCCCTTCAACTCTAGGCCCCTCATTTCCTACTCACCCACCCTTCCCCCATCTCAGGCCCCTTACTCTCGATTTCCCCCTTCACTCCCCAGAACAGTCGCCTTGCACCTCCAGTCACCACGCACGCCCTCATTCCTTTCTGTCCCTTGACACTGTCCCTCCGCACCCCTCACTCCGAGCCCTCGGCTCAGCCTCAGAGACCCTACAACAGGGCCCCACGACTCGGGGCCCCTCCCCCGCCGGACCCCAGCCCCGGGCCGGACTCGTGCGCAGCTCCAGCGCGCGGCGCGGCCCTCAGCCGGGCCCCGGGGCCCCGCACTCACGGCTGTAGAGGGCGATGCCCGCCGCGTCCGGGCCGGCGCGCACCTCTAGGCGCAGC